GCGGGTCTCGAACCCACGGGCTCAGGCAACCCACTCACCTCAGCCTCCCAAAGGCGCGGGATTACAGGCTGAGCCACTGAGATGTTTTTATTTTTGTAGAGATGGCATCTCACTGTGTTGCCCAGGCTGATCTGGAGCTCCTGGGCTCAGCCTCTCAAAGCCTCCCTGGGATTGTACCACACCCAGCCCAAGTCAGAAACGGCAACAGAAACTGTCTTTGGCTGACTGCAATAGCCTCAGTGTGTTTGGGAGAATGATCCAGTATCTCACAGGAGTAACAGGAAGGTTGGAAGACCAGGCTCAGAAGACAACGGTGACCCAAGGGGCAAGGCAGCCAGGCCCTCAGCAGAATTCATGCCAGAGGATGCTTCTGCCACCACTGCAGAAGCCAGACACCCCTCTTGGCACCAACATCTGCTCTGGGCACTGAGCCACCGCTGTCCCTGGAGACCACATAGCCCTGCCTGGATGCTGCTCCTTTGTACCTGAGTGGAAGCATCCTGTTGCCCCAACCTGAGCCAGGTTCTCGTTCTGTTGCTCAGACTGAAGTGCCGTGGCACGAGCACAGCTCACTGCAGCCTTGAACTCCTGGGCTCAAACGATCCTCCCTCCTCAGCCTCCCAGTAGGCAGCTGCTTGGGAGTGGGAAAGTGAGCATGCCAGCGTGTACCCGTCAGTACAGCTGTGTCACAAAACATCTCCCAGTCTCTATGGCAGACCACCAAATCACAGTGTTTGTTTTTCCCATGACTGTGCGTCAGCTGTGGCTGCCTGTTCTAGGCTGGCCTCGGCTGGGCAGATCTGCTTCTGGGTGTGAGACTGGCGGGGGGGGACTGGGAGGCTCAGCTCTGCCTGGGTGGCGGCCTCCTGGGACCAGCGGCTAGCCAGGGCAGGTCTTCGCCCGCAGTGGTTCCCGAGGACACGTGGACTCACGGGAGCCTCCCAAGGCTTAGATGTGGGACTCCTACATGATTGCTTCTGCCCATCTGTCTGTGGCCGAGTGAATCACGTGGCCACACTCAATGTCAGGAGTGGAGAAACATCCTCCAGCTGGTAGGAAGGCTGCAGAAGGCGTGGACACAGGAATGGCTGGGGAATGAGCAACAGATCAGTTATCTCCCTTGGTTTGGGGGCTCGTGTTGTTAGTGGGGGACTGACTTTCCCCCGTGGAGACACCCCAAACGTGGATGAGGGGCCAGATCCCGGCCACCCGAAGGAAAAGCCAGCTCTAACTCTTCTTAGCAGCCACTGCCCCCTGGAGGTCGGAGCGCCTTTTTTTCTGTCCGGTGGGTGGGGGCTGGATGGGGAGAGCAGCACAGACATTGTGGGTGTCACTGGGAGGCTGCTCCAGGTATCCCCCAGAGTGTAGGGCTCTGGGGAGGAGCTAGACTGCTGGCCGTGCCCTAGAGCTGACCCTGAGTCCCAGCCTCTCCCTAACCTCCTTTTTTTTTTTTGAGTCGGAGTCTCCCCCTGTCGCCCAGGCTGGAGTGCAGTGGCACCCTCATGGCCACCGCAGCCTCGACCTCCGGGTTCAAAGGATCCTTCCGCCTCAGCCTTCCAAGTAGCTGGAACCACAGGCCACGCCACCACACCGTGCCCAGCTCGCTGCCCTCCTTGCCAGCCCTGCCCAGTCCTACCCTCCACCTGACTCTCTAGTCTGAGTGGGAGGACGGGGGGCTTGGGAGCCCAGAAACCTTATCATAGGGAATAGACTTCACAGTGGTGTCTCTGGCTTATTTCTCTCGGGTCCTTCATTTCCAAGATCAGATTCAGTTCTTGCTTCTTTTTTTTTAGT